GAAATAAAATTATTCTCCAGCATTTCTAATTTCTAAAAAGTTTACTGGGAAATTATGTATATAGGCCATATAAACTGAAAGCAAAGGAAACCCCATTTTTTGTCTTATTTAATATACTATTGCTCTTTTCCCACAGTTATTCAAAAAATTTAGAAGTTTACAGAGAACACTTGGGACCTGAATTTCAATCAGCAGTCATTAAAGTAGTCTTTCCTATAAGAAATTTTCATAAGTTATCATGGATTAAAGTAGTAAAATGAAAGTTTTAACTTTAAAAGTATATAGGACTTGAAGAATAATTATTAAATGCTAATTTTGCTAGTAGTCCTTTTAGTGAGAATATTAGATTAGTTTAGTAATAACGTATTTTCTAAGACTTGATTAATTACACTTCCTACTATCAAGTAATAATACTAAACGTTTTTATAGAATTTTCTTTCTCAATTTTGTTAGGACTTGTACATTTGCATTATTTTTCGTCTAATAAATTTTTAATATGAAGGCAAGTTACTAAAATATTTTGCCTATTATTTGCTTTAATGTATTCTGTTATATTCGACCTCCTTTACACCCAGTTGTTTCGACTGAATTGTAGCGCCTCTAACTGACAAGTATAAAGATAAGGGAGAGTTAAGAAAAATCCCTTATTACTGCCCTTTGTAGAGCTGGAATATATATCGAATAATATGGAAATGCGCCGTTACTTAAACAGCCACGCCGCGGCGGGCGTCAATCCGGCCTTGGCGATACGTGAAAAGTTAAAGGGGGATGGCGAAAACATCAATTTTTTCACGTTGTAACAGCTCTTGAAGATCATCCTTCTTACCCTAAGTATCATTCGCATTCCAGAACAGGAGTCGAATGTGGCGGCGCCTTTTTTGTTTAAGAAACCGTTGCAAACAAATTCTTGTCCTTTCATATTTTTATGCGTGTAGGATAAATTCGTCGTTAAAATTGTTTACAGCTGCCGTAAGGTCCTCTGTAATAGTTGCAGTTGCTGATCAGCCTTTGTAGTAGAAGAGTGGCCAGGAGCTTTGGAAACTAACCAAATATTGTGGGGTTTTGTCTCAAAAAGGACGCGTAAGCGGCCCCTGGGGTAACGATAGTGCTTGGTGTTTTTATAGATTATAGTACACGGTTGAAACTTATTCATATGTGTTTTATTAAGAAAAAATCTGGTAAGAGGATTCTTTTAGATGAAATTATTAATGCTGGTAATTTACGGCTTACTTTTTAACTAAAATGCACTTTAAAAGATAACTTTCTATATAAATTTCAGAAATAGCATCAATCCTTAAGTTGGTTTAGCTAGATATAATTCCTCATTTCTGAAGAAAATTTTTAAAATAATAACACTTGAATTTTTTTGGTATTATCGTGAGTATAGCTTGATAGTCTTCTTTATAATTCAACGCTGTCCGGACGTGCTCAAAAAGTGTTTTGGTCTAGCATGCATCCCTATCATTATTTTTATTGGATATCCTAAGTTGAATGCGACCAATGCAGCAAAAATTTGCGTTAGCGCTTAAACAAGTATTTAAGGTTTCAACCTTTAGAGTGAAAGAGTTACTCCCCGTCTTATTGGGTTAGGCGAAGGCAAGGCTACAGCGAAACACTGGAGGCGATCATTAAAGGACTGGACAAACTTTACAGCAGCAAATGAATGACTACCCCGACTTGTTTCCCTTTCCATTAGAAGACACAGTTGATAGTTTTGAGGTCGCATTGACAGCTGCTCATGATCCGCGACAACCAGCCGCAAAGTCTCGTATCGCCCTAACTTCTACCGGATTACTTTGATGAGCCTTATTCGCCATCGTCGCCTGCTAATACGCCTGGCCGCTGCTACAAAAAACCCCGGCGCCAAACTGATTCTAAACCGTCTTCATCGACACACTAGAAAGGAGCTGGCCGCCCTCCGCTGGGAGGCGAAGCTACAGGGCATGTCTGTAGCGGCAGAAGAAGAATGGCTATCTTTTGGCGCTTTGTCAAACCGATTAAAAATCGTTGCCACACACCACCTCCACCAATTAATAATGACGTTATAGCGGCTAAAGCGACGAAGAGAAGGCGACGCTCTTTACCGAACATCTAGCTGCTCAAAGTGCATCTCCAAGCTGGGCAACCTTTGAGGACGAAGACAAGACATTGCAGGATCCCCCAATTATTATTGACGGACTTATTAAACCGAGCTCACATGATGAAATCTCTGATATAGTTTCTGCAATTTTATGGCGGAAAGCACCCGGCCACGATGGTATACCAACGAAATGCTAAAAAAAGCTGCCGCTAGTTGCAATTAACAATCTCCTGTCTTGTAACTCCTGAAATATCGCTTGACTCCTACCAACGCTATAGAAAACGGCCACTGTCGTGATGCTAAATAAGTCTTCGCGGCTCAAGTAAATATCGCCCCATTAGCCTTCTTTCAGCGGTGGACAGAACCATGGAGGCGATTCTACTCCAAAGACTGGAAGAGTTTGGAGAAACACACAAAATGCTTCCTGAATTCCAATTTAAATACGAAGAGGTCACTCGATAACAAAGAAATTTTTGCTCTTTGTTGGGTAGACAATTCGGAACTCTAATTTTAAGAAATCCAAGGGCTTCGTACTTCTCGATGTTGAAAAGGCCTTTGTCCGCGTATAGCACGAGGGTCTCCTATGCAAACTACGCGCCTTAGGTTATTTTGTTGGCCCTTTACAGCATACTTGCGTCGATTCTACGCGGAGACACCTTTCCAGTGAGGGTGGGGCTGCGCTATCGCCATACCGTCGACTGACAGCTGATGTTTTACAAGGCTTTCTGTCTCACCCTACTCTTCGCGCTATACATGCGAGATATTCTGCGCCTTTCGAGCCCTCACACCCGCGTTGCACTCTATGCCAATGACACTGCAGTTTATCCGTCCTCCAGGAGTCCCTCAATATTACTGTAGCTCCTGCAGAATTATTTGGAAACATTTGCCCACTGGTGTAGGCAAAGGGGAGTAAACAATGGAACGAGGAGCAAAGCCATTTTCGTCTCAAGACGCATCCCGCTACCCCTCCTTAAACTCTCTAAAATGTTAAGATCCCATGAGCCTCTTAAGCCAAATGCTTGGGAGTTACCACCGATAAGCCACTAACTTGGAGGCAACAAGTAGAGTTGGTTACGACTAAGGTCAAAGCAGTAATTCACGCACTTTACCCGCTGCTATATGCTAAAAGCGCGATGTCCCTGCACAAAAAACTGCGCCTTTGTAAAGTATGGGTCGTCCTTTTATGACCTACGCATCTATTGCTTGGACGTATGATAAACCGTCAACAACTGCACCCCTCCAGATGCAGCAATGCAAGACCCTGCGAATAATGACTGGTGCACCTTATTTCGAGCGGAACGTTGCATGACGACCTGGGTTTGGAACGAACTGAAGTCATTTTGCAAAATGCAACATTAGTCTCTTTTGAACGTGTTAGTAGGCATCCAAACCACCAGTGGATTCAAGAACTTACATAAGAACACTGGAAAGGCGAACGCTTACGAAGGCCCTGCGATGAACTTTAAGCGCACAATTACAGATGTGTTATACCTTTAACATATATGTAGAAAGTCTATCGTGAAATGACCTTCCGAAACTAAATATGGTCTAACCTAATAATACAAATTATTTGCGAGGACAAGCAGTCTGCGTTCGATACCGGGAATCTGCACATAATAATTATAAAAAAAAGTAAGAGTTGACTCCGTTATATTCTCTGTGTGGGGCCTTTTTCGCATATTTTTTCTTTTAAGTTACTTTGGCTTCTACGACTAATTTTTCTAAGTTCTGTTTTTAGTTTACGGGCTTTTTTTGAGTCCTATTTCCGCCTTTGCAGAGCTTCGATATAGTTGTATACCAGCTCCACTTTTGCTTTAAGTTCTTAGTTTGTTAGTTATTTTTGTTCAAAGTTAAATAGTTTCTTATTTTGTTTTTCTGTTTATATATTTAAACTCCTATAAGTTCACCGTTGAGCGCTTATTTTCATCAGAGAAAACCTTACGATCTGCAGAGTCGTAACAGAAAGCCTATTGAGTGAATATAATGGTATTTTTGAAAGCAGAACTACACGTAACAAATTATAGACTATTTTTATAAAGTCCTGCAATTTTTTTAATTGAGCACTTCTACGAATAACCGAGGTAAGATGATTACATTTTCCTAGTGACTGAGGATAGAGGCCTTGGGGAACATGATTACGTGGCAAAGCTTTTAGTGTTTCAAAGACGTTTTAAACGATATATCATAGTCTTCAATTTTTTTTAACAATATAAGTGTATGCAGTTGCCGGGAGAAATATAAGCGTAAGATTAGTTTACCCAACTGGATCGCACGCTTTAGTACTCATACCAAAAATTACTTCTAGTAAAGTAAGTGCCTCATCAAGCGTTTGTTCTTTAATAATGTGGGAAATAGTGAGTCAAAACGAAAAAGTTAGAGCACTTATTATTATTAATCAAGAGTTAAAGTGGAAACTATTTAACTTTCTAAAAAGGTTTTTAAAACGTAAAGATCGTAGTACTATTGTAAGATATGTATATGTATGTAACGCGCTGCTGTTGAGGTGGGTGTGAAAAGCGATTCAATAAGCTACCTTGGGCCTTTTTCATAGCTTTTGTATAGGGCTAATAGATTCCGTAGAGAAATAAAGTAATGCGATCTCACAGCTCTTAAAGCTGTTTGCGATTTCCATTTTTTTTTGGTGTTAACTTATGTTGGTGCTAACATAAATGACAACTAATGAAGTAAAAATTAAATTAGTTTAAAAGTTTCTGAGTTTATAAATAAATGAGTTTTTTAGGCTATTAGCCCATAACTCCGGGCACTTTAAAAGGAAAGGGTAAGTATGCGCCAAAAGTGTCCTTAAACTTATGCTAATTATACGCATTTAGTGCAGGTGGTCCGTTCTTTTCCTCGGAAAGGTAGATTGGGCAACTGAAGCTTTCTTGTGGTCTTGCGTATATAAGAGAAAAAAATTTCATCACGATCATATATATAGCGTTACAGAATGCGCTGCAGCCCCAGGGATGTTCGCGAGGGAGGTTTAAAAGTTATAAAAAGAGCAGAAAGTAAAATTGAAAGTGGCGAATTTTATGAAGCCCATCAACTATATAAGACAATTTATTTTAGGTTTTTATGTTTTTTTTAATAAAAAATATTAATGATTTTTCAATAAATTTTTATATTAATGTCTCAACTATAGGTATATGAACCAAAAACGTTGGGGGGACGCACTCTTTGTTGTCTTTCATGGTGCAAAAAAATTGTTTTTATATAATCAAAACAACTCTGCAGCGGACTTATCTCTTCTTGTCTTGGAAACTTATATTGAGTGCAAAGCTCAAGTAAATGAAGAGAACAGGGATAGGATAATACATTTGTTTTCTCTTTTCCCATCCAACCATTCACTAAAAAATCGCTTTATTTTCTCTTGCCTAAGGTAATTTATAATCCTGGAATATTTTTATATGTTTTGTTAAAAATAATAAAGATGGAGCCAAAGAGAGGGAGTATATTGCGAAGGAGATCCCGTTCTTCTATTGAACTTCGGTTTAGATTGTTTAAAGGAAAGTAAATACCTCGAAGCTCAAGAATATTTTCTCAAATGTTATGAGGACCAATCCGTAAGGTTATGGGCTGAAACTTTAAACAACTGTGCCTCTGATTCTTATAATAAAGTGTTATTTATAAAACTTACTTAATTTATTATTGCAATCTCTAAATTCTAATTAAACTATTTGAAGGAGACTATCGAATGTTTACTTACGATTGCTATTCTGAAATTATTAAGCATTGGAGATCTGCGCCGAGCTAATCTTCTTTACTCGAGGACACTCTCCCCGCATAACGACGTTTACGAACGCTCCCTTCTTATAAAATTCTGTGGTTTTCTTTTAAAAACTTGTGAATATAACGCACCGATCATGTTCAAATCTTTGTGCGACGAGTTTGCACCGAGCTTGGACCTGTTGGAGGGTAGTCACGAGGTAAAGCTCCCTTTTAAAATTTATATTTATCTTTAATTACTGAAAAACAACAGCAACTTCAACTCGTAGGAGTTCAAATGTTCAATTTACCATCAAATAAAGATAGTTTTGCTGATGTAGTGAGTCGGTTTCTTATGTAGCTCTATCTATGAAGAACTTCACAAACCACACTTATGGTCTCCTAGACCTCAATAAATAGTAACTGGTAAAATTTCGTCTATGTATATTGTAGCCTTTTTGGGTTTACCCAACTTCTAATTAAGCTAGCGGTATAATATTTCCAGCTTACTGTGGAACCTTTTAGTGAAAGTTTTGTTATTAAAAAATATGGGTCAAACGGCTAGTAAGAAGTAAACGCTCGGTTAAGCCTTAAGCAAACGCTGAGCGTAGCATTACCTACCGATCCTCCCATAAAAATAATACATTTATATCCCTTCTGTACGTTTTACGTTTATTTGGAATATACTTGGTATTCTAGACCACGCACGAACAAACTTTTAACTGGGTAACTTTAAAAAATATTCATGCATCATAGTCGATATCTTAAAATTTTGCAGTGCAGCTGACTTTCTATTTTGTGATTTATTTATAGATGGAATTTTCTTGTGCTCGACCGAGCTAACACTCTCGTAAACTGGAGCTCTCAAGTAGGTTTCGTCGCCTATAGTCACACGTAACTATTATCTGAAAAATGTGTCTACGTTTAATTGCAACCCCAACTTTACTTTAACCATGAGACGCGGAGGACGGTATTGTGCGCCGCCCCACAATCCGCAAGAATTTTACTTGGTAAAAGGCGAAGAACTTGTCGAGCTATTCGTCCGTAAAGGGTGAAGACAGTACCTTTTAAGATTATGGTCAGGGTTCAATTTGTAGTTCGCAGTGAAGAGTATCATTGTGCCCAAAAAAACGGAGCTTTTCTTAAAAGGCGCAGCAGTTGATTTTGCCATACTTGCAGAGAGAAAGCTATTGCCCGGAAATCGTAGGCTTAGAGAGCAGTTGCATATGTCATTAATAAGATGAGTGCACAACACATAAAGCCTTCGCTAATAGTGCAACGAAAACTTACTTTGCTGCACAGTAGAGTATTAAGCGGCTGAGGTCAATGCTATGAATTTTTATCTAAACGTAATTTTCGTACGGTCGCCACGACATCTTAAAGTTCACGGTGGCCTTCAGGTGTTTTACCAAAGTTACCGGCGTCGGCAGCACTCTGCATTTTTTCCTAGAAAGGTCGCCTTCTCTTTTCTGTGTTAACAACGACGTCATAACGAAGTCACCAGCTTGTAAACGCGTCGAGATAAAGTTAAAATATTGGCTTAGTAAAACGGGCCATTATGACAACGAATAAATCATCGTATATCGGCGCAAAGGACAACCAGCGTGTGAGGATTGCCTGGCAGAAGGCAGTGATAGAAAATAAGACCTTTCAATTCGACTTGAGCACACGAAGGCCGCAACCAGGAATCGCTAGTGTGCAGATTCAGTAAGAAGCCTACATACTCTACTCATTTAATAACTTCTCGACGACATCGAGAAAGACAGCGTTAATGGGTTTCTTTAAAATAAATCTTGGGTCCTCCACTTGGTCAGGAGAAGAATTGGTTGGTTTGTTGACTTCTTTTTAACATTTAAACTAAGGCTCCAAGTTACGAGCGTCAACAATCGCCTTTAAGCGAGTTAATATTGCTGTTTCTTATTGGAGAGGCTATAAGATACAAATCTCGGTTACCGACCCAAGTTTAGCAAAGTTAAATGTATTTCCAACTGTCTCATTGCCTTGCAGAGCAGGAAATGCTATTAGTTAATGCCGGAGGCTTAGTTTAATCCGGATAGCTACTCCCTTACCGATAGCATAAAGCTAAAATCCTGGCGATACACGACAAAAGTTTTAGAGATTTGCGTTTTACTGACGATCCACCGAATCAATTCCTCAGTTCATGTATTTTATTCCAAACGCCTTCTGCATTCCGGAATGGTAGTTAAAATTGCTTACGCGTCTGATGGATTCTATTGGCTCGAGCATGGTGGAGAGTTTCGCCCTCAAAATAGCTAACAGTTACCGCAATATCGATTGTTTTTGCTATTCTTGCTGTTGCTGAACAGCTGAGTTTGCTTAGTGGGGGTAATAGTAGGACCTGGAGTGGGTAACGGATGTTCTGACAGAGTAGATTCATGGCTGTTTAAGGCCTCCGGGATGTCATTTTCCCCCTCGGTAGTTAGGGGTGCGAGCCTCGCCTCCCCACAATTTCGCTACCTAGCAGGCGAGACTCATGTTTGGTGCACTCCGCAGTCAAGTGCGCCTCACCTCATTTGGTTCATCGAGGTGCAGCAAGGAGCTGGCACGATTGCGTTAGCGAACGGGAAAACTCTAGGTAGTTCTTTAATTCAGTTTAAAGATGTGAGGCAGTCTTCAATTTTAAGTGTGTTTTTGTCGTTCGGTTGTAGATACGTACCAAGCACTAGTGGCAAAGGACGCTTCTTACTTTCACGAGTGTTCCGTTCCTTCGTGTGCAGTCGGAGGGGCGCGATGCTTTGTGTGCGCAGGTCCGCCTCGACCAGTGGAAATATCGAGTTCACACTATATTTCTCATAAAAAAAATCTAAATGACTAATCTTCAGTGTTCTTTGTGATAGCGCACTAGCCGTAATCGAAGATATTTTAATTCCTAAGCGAGTATCTCTTGACCTTGGGATCCTTATGCCGTTGGTTTGCAAAAGTTGTTGTTTTTCTCATAAAGTGAAGATGGGGTTTTCTTTATAAGAGTTCGCAGGGGTATTGCTGCAATAAATGACTGTTCGTTTATAATAGGGGTGGTAATAAAAACACTAACAGATTAAGCCAACGTCTCGGGGTCGAAAATTACCGTTGACGCACCGACGCGGCTCTCTTTTTTGGTTTTGATGGTTGCTAGTAAACTTCACCCTCATAAATTTTTATACGTTATGAAGCACAATGCTATGAGCTAAACATAAGAACACTCAAGATCGACTAACTACCCAGGTCTGCTTATAACGTTTTAGAATAAAAGAAAGCGAGGTTTAAATACGCAACCCCATGATCTTGAGTATTCGCGTCAATACTCTTAACCTCTGAGCTGCAACGACAACCCTCAATTATAGAGTGATGGCTCTAAGTGAATAACCCGTTACACTGCCCGTCTTTATGTCACGGTATGAGGCGAAGCTTTATGGGCTCCTCTGAGTCTCTGAGCTCCAATATAATTAATAATTCTATATTTACTACTTCATTTATTTTTATTACTAGTACTGTTGATGCTTTCAGTTATATTTATATTATTAACGCTATTTATGGGGATAACACAGTATACAAAAACACCTCAGACACAGCTCAATACAATAAATTGCAAAAAACACTAAATACGGAAAACACAATAAGATAAACATAAATAAGAGATAGAACATAAACAGAAAGCATAGACCACAAAAATAGATAGTGGGGTACATTGAGTATAAACTATAATGACCATAAAACACAAACACCGAAACGCAAACCTAAATTACAGACACAAGCGCGTTAGGTTTTCCACCACCCTCAAAAGTGGACGCCCGCCTCTAAAGGGCATTATTAATTTATTTTACTTCATAAGTCCAAATTTACTTTATAATCAATTTTTTTTAGGGACGGTGGACTCGAACCTTAGAGCATTAAACTCTTAATCTGTTAGATTCTCACTACGTCGAAAGGTGGACACACACCTTACGGGGTCAGGAAATTATTTAAAACGGTACCCAATCCTAACACAGAAATCACAAATATTCTAACTTTTCACAGAAAAAAATGGTCCGTAAGTGAACCAATAAAAACCTGAAAAACGCCAATAAATACTAGAAAATTTTAACTCACTTTTTTAATTGGATGCAAACTTTACAAAGTAAAATTTTATAAAAACTAACCTTGTTTAATTAAATTTATGATACAAATATACATATATGAAAGCATTTTTGACCTTTTGCAAGGTATAAATACAGACAGAAAGTTGGCCAACCAAGTACTCTTTGCTTTAATATTTTTTAATATACTTTTATTATATGCATTTTGTACGAATGTTGATACGTTATAATCCCGAAGCTCTACCACCTACTTAACATGGGAACTACTCTTGGTTTAAGCTAGACGGGGGGGAGGGATAAAAACTGCGTTAGTCCAAAGTGGACTGGAGAGAAAGGTTTAGAAAACATTGAGAGAAAAGTACCCTTACTGCGTCTTTGGAGGAGAAAACTTTGAATGTGTAGGAGCATTACGAGTAGCAAAAATAAACTCCAGGTCATTGAAATGATCACTCATCAGCACGGGGTTTATGAACTAACGACACTTTTTACTTAACGTACCAATGACTGAAAACCACTTATAATAAGCGTTGCTTAGCGCACGTGGAAATATCAAAGTAAATTTGTATCATCATGGCAAAGGGTGCAAATAGTATTTTAGGGATTCTAAATTGCACCATATATATATAGCTATTTTAATAGAGGAAGAGGTTTTTTTGCTCCCTGCTTCGTGTCGCTTCGTCTGTTATCTTTTTTGATCGGCTTTAGGCCCCAGTCTATAGGTCTGGATTGATCCTTGTTATAGCTATTAATAATTGTTATAATTTTCTATAGGATTAGCACGTAATATGTATTGATCATCTACAAGGTTGATCTTCCTAGTAATTGATTAAATAATCTAGTTGTTAGTAAGTATCTAGTTAATAGGAAATATTAGTAATAGATAAAGTTTTTATTATAACACTTCATAGAGAAATACACAGACAATTTTATCATATTGGTTCAAATTAGATGAAGCGGTTTTGGAGAAAAACTGGATAATGGATTAGCGGAGCAGATCATTCGTGAATGTAACACTTATATCTGATTTTGTGATAGGTGTTGTAAACTCAGTTGCAGATGTATTTAAAAGAAATTTCTAAAATGTCTATGGAACATAAGGTTATGAATATTTTTAAAATGATTAAAATGCGGAAGGATTACGAGAGCGCATTTACTATACTTGATAAGTATTTTGGATTGGTCTTAGCCCGGGCTTTCGAATAGTTAAATGCGGAATAGGTAGTCAGTGAGCTAAGAGAAATATTCAAATTAAGACAGCCTTTTAAATTATGGATAAGGAGGCAAAAATTTGATACAGAGAGGTAAAGCAGTTTATGAAAGAATTTAACACAAAAAGTAGAGT